CACACACACACACACACACACACACACACGGTCTCTACGTACAACACTCAAACAGTGGCAAAGTTTGTTTTTTGCTTTTTAAATGCGTGATTTTTAACAGATGTAAACAATGACAAAAGGCTTAAAAGTATAGACGTGATACCAGCTAAATTTAATTATTGTACTAAATCGTAGAAAAGTTCAGTATGTACTTTAGTCTGCTATTCCCCGCTCTGTGAAGTAACGTGAGGGAGGAAACTAGTTGACGTTAGCTAGTTAATTAGCCATGTTATCTGCCTCGGTAGCAAGCCAAATAGTATTTATTTCAACACTGAAACAAACGGCGGGGGGGTCGCTGTCTTGATCGGGGGTGAAAGAGGGAGAAATGAAGATGACACTGATATATAGTTTATGTTCGACCTGGAAGTATTTATTTAGCGTTCGGCGCTAAAACGTTATCTGTACGGAACATCGTTGTGTACGGAACATGGTTAGTCTACGTTACCCGAAAAATTCCCATACAACAGGCTTCGTCTTTTTCGACGGGGGAAGTTCCAGGGATTCATCTCCTTCGGCCATCCCACACACAGGTGACTGACCGCTCGCACCAACCGGAGTGGGAGGGGTTGTGTGTCTTGTTACGCTCTTTGCTGCACACAACTGAGGTCCTGCACTTTCCGTCTTTGATGACACGTAAAAAAAAACTGCGCATACTCCAGGAACGATATAACGGAAAATTTTCGTGGTTTTGAAACCGTGACTTTTCCAAACCGCGGTATACCTTGAAACCGGTTATCGTCCCATGCCTATACACTGGTGTTCAAAAGTTTGGGGTCAGTAAGATTTTTTAAAATAAATTCATACTTTTATTTCGTAAATTGACCAAAAGTGACATTAAAGATATTTATAATGTTTCAAAATATTTCTATATTAATAAATGCTGTTCTTTTGAACATTGCTACTGATCAAATTTAAAGAATTTAAAATTGTAAAACATTTCACATTATTACTGTTTTTAGAGTCATTAAAGTGAAACTTTTGTTGAAAATTATATAAAAGTTTTTCTACGTTTCTAAGAACACGTCACATGTATTGAAACTAGATTTTTAAAAGATTTCCCTCTTTATCGTGGAAGCTCTTATTTGTAATTAACCCACATGCTTAGTCTGCATCAATTTCAGCAATCCAAGGCCTGAAAATGCACCACGAGCAAATGAAAGACCTGCTGACCTACTGTGACAGCACTGCAATACTTAAAACACAGAGAAACCCTGCGTTTAATGGATGTTAAAACGAGTCGAAATAAAACGGCTCATTTTCTTCACCTTCTGAAGCTCAGCTTGCTTCTCAGACTTCAAAAACAGTCGCAGCACAGTTCACAAATTTTACTGCACATGCTCTGTGTTTCGGCGCGTCTGCATCGCACACCTTGTGAGCAGATCTTAGATCTTCGCTGTTGTGTGTGTGTCGTACTTCATGTAGAAGGAGGGAGGCTTAACGACTGATCCATGCAGCTGTGTTTGATCCAGGGGAAATACACATTAAACGCAGCAGATGTGCTTCTCCCTATGTCTCTCTTTCTCGCTCACACATACACACACAGCCTTGAGTCAAAAGATTGATCTGGCTGTTGAAGGAAAGAGACTACAACAATAGCTTTTTAAAAGAATGCTGAATGAAATCCGGATGCTGAAAGAAAGCATGCACAAAACTGGCCAAAATATGCAGTAACACAAACAAATGCATTAAAGATGAAATGCAATACAGTTACAAACAAACAACACATTCTTGCGCCCAGTTTTAAAAGTTCCCTCTTTCATTTTGGAGCAAAACATGAAACATTCATGCCTTGCCCATGTGTGTTAAAAATATTTACAGCGTTGCAGAATTTGCTAGTTGAATAATTGTTCTTTTCAAACAAAACAGGGATCTGAAGATTGCAGGTTTTCAGTGAGAAGAACAGCGCGAGTTTTATTCAACAAGCGAAACATATGGAACTGACAGAGATTGGCGCCAAGTGAATGGCTGAGAGTGATATGTCCAAAAAAAGCAGCAATTGCTCAGCTAAAAGGAATCTTCTCTGTGTGGGAAAGAGGGAACAACTGTCATGGAAAGCAAAGTGCAACTGCAGAATAGTTCAATAACTTCAGACTGTCATGGAGTATTAAGAGACAGTTCACCGAAAACTCACTCTCATGTTGTTCCAAAGCTGTATGACTTTCTTCTGCGGAACACAAAAGAAGATATTTTGAAGAATGTTTTTGACCTTATAATGAAAAACAACATTGGACCCCACTGAAAAAAAAAAATTACAAAAAATACATATCTTTATGTTTCACAAAAAAAAAGAAAGTCATTCAGGTTTGGAACAATATGGCGCTGAGTAAATAATGACAATTACATTTTTGTGTGAACTATTCCTTTAAAAAAAAATGTAATTGGATTTCAAGACGTTCTGACCACAAATAAATTCCTGGGATAAAGATTAAAGAAAACATTGCCCAGCCATGTCAATGCCACTGATAGTTTTCCAAGGATAGGAATCTGACACAGCTTTTCCCCTCAAACCCTCGGAGCCAGACTGGCACATTAGAGCTCGATAGAGTTCAACAGGGAACTCGTCCCGACCTATGAGGGAAAACACCACACTCTCCACCGTGACTGTGGTTCGCTGCTCAAGTAGCATAAAAATGCTTTCCACCACAGTCAGCACTCCATCAAGTCATGCAGTTTTCCAAAGTTCAGTGTCATTTCAACATGGAAAAACACTAATAGAGTGAAGATTTATATCAGGCTTTTCATAGTGAATGACAAGACCACCTAGCCCACCTTGAATGGCACAGTATTCATTATTTAGTAACGCAAGGGGACAGACACCGCTACAACCAGAAATGTTTCCACGTAACTCAAAGCACCTCGAAACCTGTCTGCTTGAGGAACACTAAGAGCCTGGAGCCATTCTGATCAATCTTTCTCTACAAAAAACATTTTATATTCTTTTTTCCCCATGGTTTAGCATATTATTTCGTCATTAATCGCTGCAAATGGGTAGCAGCTGTGAGCAATCATGGAGTAATACTGCTGATGTAAGAACTGAGCCTAAATTCTCTATTAAAACGAGACTTCCAGTCTGAGCGAGAAGAAAGGGACACTCTAAGCCAAGGTAATAATTCAGTCATGTGATCATCATTTTGAGCTATCGATGATAAAGTGAGCAAGCAGCAACTTTTCTTGAACTATCATCATTGACTGAATTAGTATCCAAATTGTCTTGATCTTTAGCTCAATAAACAAGGGAGAGAAAGGAATTACACAAAGAATTTAGATTATGGTAAAATAAATGGTTGGTCAACTGACAAACTCAGCTCATAATAGAACGCACATTTATTGAGGCTTGACAGTGGTAAGCTGGCTCTATATCCACCAGTGAACCATGAATCATTACCAATCAATAACTTCAGAGAAATGATGATGGAAACATGGATTCAATAGAGTGTCAATCAATGTTTGGTTCTTTATAAAGAACACCCACTTCATCTAAATAATGTGGGACTCTAAGAACGAAACAAAATGACTGAAATTTAATTGCATTTATCCTTCATTAAGAAGACCTTTCTTATTTGAGATGGGTGATGTGAGATTTCTAGTGTCTACCTAGTAGATCTATAATAATAATAATAATTCAAAACATAAAATATATTTAAGAAATATAGTATATCATTCTATCTAACTATCTATCTACTGTATATATATATAGATATATATATATATTTTTTTTTTTTTTTTAATTATTATTACATTTTTTTTTAAATATTTTTATGGACCAATACAACAATCCATAAACAATAAACAGTAATTTATTTACTAAAACACCATACAATGCAGAGATTTATATGAACATTTTTGTTTTGAGTCACATCTATCTATCTATTTTTATATATCTATATCAATAAATGTCAACACATCCAGTCTATTGTAACTATTTAGTATATTGCACAGTCCTGTCCCTCAGTCTCGATATAATCATTTGAAACCAATAAACAGAAGGTCTTTCAATAAGCATTTCTTCACAATCTAAGACATACACAAGAGAACCTAGTGGAGCTGTAACAGCTCACATACAGATTCTCTGATCTGCATAACCATCCTGTGCTAGTCCCAGAGGTGCAACTCACACCTAAGTACCTGTTTCACACATGGAGCTGCTCACCCCTGCAGGATGTGTGGAATGTAAATGACTTTTAATACTTGGATTAAAAAGTAAAAAGCACAAAAGCTAAGCGATACCAAATCCTCTGATCCCAGTCTCATAACATACAGTCTAGCTTGAGGAACACTTTTAACCCACATACATGGCTATGTGTCCGATATATCATATCTGACCTAATAATAGCAGCGAGATGATTTACTAGCGGATGGAGGAAAATGAGGTCGAGGTGCTTCAAGGTACAAATGAATAAAGTCACCACAAAAGATATTTAGTGGTGATGCTCACCCTTCTAGTGTTATCCAGGACGAGGGGGTCGGGCCGGCCGTAGTTGGGAGGATTGGCATGGGGATCATAGCCGAGCCTGGCCAGCATGGGGGCGATGACAGGCATGTCCCGCAGCACATCTGGGGGGATCTTACCCACCCACTTGGATAAGGCCTCCACATTGACAGGCTTGATCACCTGGTCTGTAGATCTCTCTACCCTGTGGAGCAAAAGAAGTGTGTCAATGGAGCAGGAACATGTACACAGTCTTACCACAGTGGACTAATTGGGTCTAATTAGATCAAGTAATGCAATTAAAGAAAGCTCTAGGCTAATATGATGCTTCAAACGAACGGCCTTTCATTCTCTCCAAGATCATCTCCCAAATGCATCACATTTCATAATCCACTCTATCTTTGTATTTGATTGAGGTACAATGACATTGATGGATGTTTCTTGATTTGCTAGTCTAGATGTATAAATTTCAGCACAACCTGGCAGAGTTTCAATGGCTTTATGCTGAAATAAATGAACTTACTGGTTTTACTGAACCCCAATAAATAATTATAGTCTAGTTTTTACTGCTTACGGTAGCGCATATTCCACTTTCTAACTTGCTAAATAAGCAGCATAACCATAAAATGTATGTGGATTCAAATTTGCAGAGATATTAAAAATGAATCCGGCATTACGTCACACCCTAGGTAAAATATTCATATGTCTGAAATGAAATATTTACAAAGCCATGAAAAAAAACAGTACAAGTCAGGTTTTTGTTTAGAGAGAACACATAGGAGTGGCTTACTTGTTAGGAGAGGTTAGTTAAGTGATAGGTTACCTATCACTGATATTTGCATAGGGATGAACCTTTTTTCCAAGAAAATTGGAAAATCTACTGGACGCCCATCATTGTTCTCTTATGACAGCAGATGGGAACTACAAATATTGGGTCAATCCCACAAAGCCTGTCAAGAACATGTGCAGGTTATATTACCCTTGAAAATCAAAAGAAAAGAAATTATATTTTGCATTTATATTATTTTCTTGACAATTTAGCACATTCTCTCGCCATCTCATTAAGATAATTAGGTAATCATATATCATTGTAATATGTGTATATTATTTTTAATTGTTAATTTAAAAAGTATTGTTTTAAGTGGAGATACAAATAAATTGCAAAATGATAAATTTCAAATAAAATAAAATAAATGGTCTTTTGACTAAATACAATTTCTTATAAAACATATATAAAATAATATAATATATATATATATATACAGTGAAACTGAAATATGACCTGGACATGTTCTCTGTGAGATGGTCTCTTTCTCTGTTTTTCCAACTTACAATGGATCTGCTCTTGTTTGGGCTGAGATGACTGCAGTTGGAGACGGATGGAGTCATTGAGGCCATTCTCTCCAATGTTTTTATTATTTCTTCCCTCATAGAGAGGATTGGCTCCACATGGGAAACAGATTACTACACTCAATCCCCATCTGCAGCCAAGACACCGGGGAACGCCAGCTCCACTGCCGCCCCACTTCAGAGTGCTGTGTGGATCCAGTGCAGAACACCCTGAAGTGCTTATAGTCCCTCAATACAGCAAACAATGACACAAAACCAGCAGCAATACTCATGCTGGCACGCTTAGGAGTGTGTTTGCATGTGCATGTGTTAAAACAAGTGAATGACCCAGCAGTCAGTGTGACAACCTGACTCGTCATGCCTTCTCAAACATCACTCACAGAACCGTGACAGGAAGTGATGGGAAGTCCAATCCTTTTTATTTCCTTTTATTTCCAAACATATTTCCTATGTTTTATTTGTTATACATGCTGTTCAGCAAAAGACACCAGAAACATACATTTCGCCCCCCTTTATGAAACCCTTAGTCAGTCCTGAAACAGTTTGCATGTTGCAAATGTGCAAAAGACTGTTCTTGTCAGTTCAGTGTACTTTTGGACTAACTGGAGCGCTGAATGAGTTGCCAAAAACCGGCATCATAGGATACTGGCCCATTTGGAGTCAAAATGATGGTCAGGCACGTCCAAAGTGAGTTCTGATTCAATAAATTTAAGATCTATGCTAACTTGAGCCAAGCTGTTTCAAACGGTTCAGTCCAATTTGGTGAAATGGTTCATGCATTTCACTAAAAAGAACTGGTTCAAAAGAACGATTCGTTTGTGAACTGGACATCCCTACCCATGACTGAAGACAGTCATGTGCTGCCATATGCTCTTCATAAATACAAACTTAAGGTCTAATACTTTGTGGTGTGTATTTGGCAATCTAAAAATCTTAAATCGAAGGACATCTAGTCCTTGTCTCCTCTTATTCCTGGAATGTAAGAACACAGCGGTCTATGAGTTATTGAATTCACCTTCCCATCACACCCTCCCCAACCTCAGCCTCAGCATTAGAGACCTGCCTTTCTCCCCAGGCACCACAAAGTCCATTTATACTGGCAAGCCGCTCCGCTGTACATTTCATTGTTCAAGTCCCTGGCCGACACAGTCCTTCACTTCTCTAATCCATTTACATTGGAATTGCACTTCAGCTGCAACGTGATTAATAGATTTACTGTTTCCCAGGACAGAGAGGACTGTTTTCTTTCTTAGCTGCAGTTATTTTCCTCAGTGGAAAACTCAAAATCATTCATTGAAAAACAGAAAAAGCAAGCACACGTAAGCGTGGACAGGAGGAAAAGCCATTTCTGACAGCCTGGCAGTGGATGCGTCATGCCATTCTCTAGAAAATAACATCCTCTGTTCAGCAGTTGCTATGGCCAACACATGCCAAACACGCAGTCTGCCTGCGCTGACGCTAATTGGTATGAATCTCTTTATGATACATAGCTGACACCCTCTGAGGTGAGATTTGCATCTGTAAGCTTTGTAAAAGCACAAATACTGTATAAGAGGAATGAGAACGGCAGGGATGTGTTGCTGCAGTAGCCACAGAACAACGATGCAGATAAGCTGTTTGATTTAACCAGAAGTGCTTAAGCTTATATCCCATATTTCAAATTTTATCAAATTAATTTCATGATATGGTGATTAATGAATCACATTATGCATTTAGCAGACGCTTTTATCCCAAGCAACTTAAAACATCACAGAGCCAACAATATGCAAACAAACAAACAAAAACAAATTTTTTTATTAAAAAAAAAATAAAAATAATAATAATTTACAGCTGGCAAAAATATGATTTGCATTTTGGTATTTCAAGCATTAACTGATCACTAATAAAGAATATTAATACATAATATTCTTATTTTAATAATATAATTTAATAATATAATATTCTAATTTTAATAATAATATTAAAATTAAAATGAATATATTAATATATAGTCACCACTGATAAGCTACCACTAAATATTGTACAAACTTAATTTGCTGTAAAGTTGCTTTGCAACGATTTGTATCGTGAAAAGCGCTATACAAAAAAAATAAAAATAAAATAAAAAATTAATGATGCACAAATGTAAAAATTCTGGCTAATATTGATAAGTCAATTTTCATGGCCGTTATGGCTGATAACATTTTGTCTAAATAAATTAAAAATCAAACACAAAAAATGTAAATCAATATTTTAAAAGTGATTTTAGGAATAACAACATTATAATGTAAAGTATAAAAAAAAAGGATATTAAATTTTGAGATTTGCTAAAAATTAAACATAGCAGAGTTTTTTAATTATTAACTTTAAGTGAGTATTAGATGACAGGAAAGGTCAAATAATAATATATATATATATAATATATATTATTGTCTGATAATCGACATGGTTCCGATATACCGTGCTTCTCCTTAATATGCGAAAACTTTTACATGCGGTGATTAAATGCAGTAATACAATTCATTTTATAACTAATACATTATTTATTTTTCCCCAGCATATTTTATATAAATCAATCAATAAATAAATTGTATATGTTTACTCCGATGTGGCATGAACAAATAAATATATAACATCAACCGATACAATATATATATAAAAAAAAAAAATTGTATTGTCTAATAACCACCATAGCACCAACATATCATGCTTCTCCTTGATACAGGTCTTTTTTTTTTTTTTAAAAGAGTTGCATGAAAAAAATCCTGGGTCGCAGGTTGCGTTTTTTTGGGCTTATTTAAAAAAATATGATTGCTTGTTAGGAAAATCTGACAAGCAACTTTTTGTTTCTTTACATTAATGTTCGCCATATTCTCCGATGCATTGATTAACACTCTGTCTGCTCACAGCAGCCAATCAGTGCAATAATATTAGTGCTGTAGCATAATTCATCTAATTCGTCAAACATTCTCCCCCCTCCTCGCCCTCATTGGAAAAAAATCATGTTCAACATGAAGGCACGGGATGCTGTAATGATACTAGGAGACGTAATAGAGGGGTGGGATGACTTTTTCTTATAAGGTAAATTTTTTATTTTTACAATGTTTTTGTAATGTATTAATTATCACAGGATATAAAAAAAACAAGTAGGCCTATACTAATACTAACATTATATACATTTGGTTTGAATACATTTTATTAGCCCATATTTTCATAAGCCCACGTTTAAATATATGGCTATCTTTTAAAGTTCTTGTCTTTTTCTCCTTTTCCATCTCTCCAAATCCTATTCTGCTCACAGGTGATTGGAGATAGTGCGTGCCCCCCGCTCTGTTAGGCTGATTTTTGTAAAATAATTATTTTCTGTTTTTGCTTTTAAAATAAAAGAGTGGTTTTAGTTCAAAATGTTGCAGGCTCATTTATTGGTAATAAATAATTGATAATAAATAATATTGACGATAATAAATAATCAAATAACATTGGGCTTGTTTTTGAAGCTGCGGCTGCTTATTTGTCTCACGAGAGTTGGCAACAGTGCCACCGTGCACGGAAAACTTCCACCAGTCACGTCAAATTACAGCAGTGAATAATGCATTTCTATGGACGAAATGCATTTAAAAATAGCGGATGGAACAGAGTGAGCTGCTGCGGGAAAGATGCGTGATCCAAGATGCCCGAAACATGAGAATGCTTTATTTTAAACTTCAAGCTAATGCATTAGTGTAATGTTTAACATGGCTTGTCCTGTCAGGCGCTTTGACAGATGCATGTGCTGTTTAATGTGTGAGATATGTTTCTTCAGCGTATAAACTGCATTTTATGGTAATATCCATTTCTGTAAATGTTACACATCACGTGAATGTTTCTATTTTGCAT